AGACTTCTGTATCAGCCAACATTTTGCTGCATGCAAGATTAATGAAATAGTCCCACTGCAATCTCACAATGCAGCACTCAGCAATGCGGCTTTATGTCTTAATATTTAGTAGAAAACAGGTTTTTGAATAAGTCACGGCAAAAGGATGTTTTCTTCCCCCACAAGGGGAATATGGGGTGACTTTTAGCAGCTCCCTCTCCAGTACCCAAATATTTTAAGTCTAATGAAAAGGAAAGCAGCATTTTATATGCAGAGCGCTGCTCTGGGTCCTGGGAGCAGGGAGCCCAGCAGAGAAGAGCCTCAGCCTTCCTAGAGCTTGGATTTTTATACTCTGGCTGACAGTGAGGTCTGAGGATCAGCATCTTGGGCAGTACTGGGACCCTGTGGGGCCCGAATCTGCCCTTTAGCGAGATCCTCCAGTGACTCACAGGCACATTAGTGTGACAACCAAGGCTTTAGGCCTGGAGTTTGGAATTTTTGTGGGAATCAGAATCACCTGGGGGTTAAATTGTTCAATGCAGATTTCTGGGCCCCAGCCCAGAGATTATGATTTGGTAATTGGGATGGAGGTCTGGGAATTTGCTTTCCTAACAAGGTTCCGGATGATGCCAAGGATGCTAGTCTAAGACCCACACTCTGAAAACCTACTGCTGTATGAGATGATCTGGGTTCCAGGTAAAGACTGGAACTGCATAGTCACACATCCCAGGCCCCCGGAAAGGCCTGATGGCAGCTTCAAGGTTTCCCCTTTGTGGCCAGGACACAGTTCTCTTAACTTCCCTCACCTTCCTCTTCCACTCAGAGGAGGCTGGCTTTGTGCCAAGACCCAGATGATCCTCAGTGCTTGCCCTGCCCATTTAGAGACCAAACATCTATGCAGAACCCATCCAGCCTGCCTAGGAAATCCAATCATCAATCACACAGGATGCCCTGGGTGTTTCCATGTAGGTGAGACCACAAAGAATTAAGGCAGCCTTGATGTGTTAACCAAGTCATGCACTGCTCTGCACACAGAAGTACCCATCAGATGCCCAGCCCCTCCTCCCCTCAGATGTCAGGGGCTGGAGTTGACCCTCTCCCCACTCCTACTTCTTGGGTGCTGCTGCCCAGGGAAGCTGCCCTGCAGCAAGTGCTTGACTCTGGCCTGGGGCCCAAGTCACTGGGCCAGGGGTGGCTCTGAAAACAAATGTCGAATTAGCCACATTCTCCCTCCAGCCTATAGCTGTGCTGTCCAAGAGGCAGCCACCTGCCACAGGTGACTATTTATAGTTAAAGTTAAACCAAAGTTCAGTTCCCCAGTTGCTGTAAAGGGTTGAATTGTGTCTCCCACCCACCCTCCCAAAAAAGATACCTTGAAGTCTTCATCCTTGGGACTTGCGAATCTGATCTTATCTAGAAATAGGATCATTGCAGATATAATCAAGTTGAGATGAGGGTATACTCTGTTAGTGTGGGCCCCAATCCAATGACCAGTGTCCTTAGAAGAAGAGGGAAATCTGAGCTGGGTGTGGTGGCTCACACCTGTAATCCCAGAACTTTGGAAGGCAGAGGCAAGAGGAGTGCCTGAGCCCATGGGTTCGAGACCAGCCTGGGCAACAATGGTGAGACCTCGTCTCTACAATCAAACAAAAAATTAGCTGGGTGTGGTAGCGTGCGCCTGTAGTTCCAGCTACTTGGAAGGCTGAGGCAGAAGGATTGCCTGAGCCCAGCAGGTCGAGGCTGTGGTGGCCATGAGTGTGCCACTGCACTCCAGCCTGGGTGACACAGTGAGCAAAACAAACAAATAAATAAATAAATAAAGGAGAAGAAGAGGGAAATTTGGAAGCAGACATACAGGGGAGATGGAAGCAGAGATTGAAGAGATGCATCTGCAAGCCAAGGAGTGCCAAGGATTGCCAAGAACTACCAGAGACAGGCATGGAACAGCATCTCCCTCAGAGCCCACAGTATGAACCAACTTCTGGCACCTTGATGCCACACTTCTATCCTCCAGAACTGTGAGGGAATACATTTCAGTTGTTTTAAGTCACCCGTTGTGTGGTGCCCTGCGACGGCAGCCCGAGGGGACAAACACTAGCCCTGTTTCTATCCATATTTCTGGTGCCCATTAGTAACAGGGCTAGTGGCTACCATATTGGACCGTACACATACAGAACACTTCCACTCTTGCAGAAAGTTTGATTGGACAGTGCTGTTCTATAAGAAAGAAGCTTAATTTTCAGAAATAGTTGTTGGGTTAGACTAATTGCATCTTCCATACACTTCCAATCCCTAATCCTTGTCCTCTGAAAGAGAGAGGGGACCTCCACCATCAAAGGGAAATCAAAAGGCACATGTCGAGTCTTCTCCCCAACACAAGAAAGTAAACTTTGATGTTTAGGCCAGAGTTTTCACCAACGTTGAAGGCAGCTGGCTGGAAGGCAGGTCCACAATGAACCTGAGAATCCGCCCCACAGAATGAGCCCACTCTGGCAGCCTGGCCATGCCTGTCCCCACCCGCTTATCTTACGATCCTTTGTACATATCTTCCTTTCTGCACTTGCCAGGAAGTCTGCCAGGGGACTGTCACATCCACTCTGTGCAAATTTGAAGTTTAACACTCACCTGTTCATAATTTATTCCTTAGGAGGGAGGCATTCATGGTCCCAAGAATCCCAAGTTAAAATACTCTCGGAAGAAAGCACCATGTCACATTATTGTGTAATAAGACTCCAGCAGGAATTAATTATCAGAGGGAAGGCCCAGGGTCACAGACCCCTAGGATAGCAAAATTTTAATGGGAGAAGGGAAATGATGGCAAGGAGGAGGCGAACCTCCACCCACAGGGATCCAGGGAAGGGCCAAATACCAGAAGCTGGGGTTATATCTGGAGAACTGGGTAAAGAGAATGCCGAACTGCCAAGGGCTCAGTTCTGCCTCCCAGCATCCCTCACTTCCTCTCCCAGCACACACCACCCCTCTAGCCAAGTTCCCTCACATTTGGCTCCCTAACCCGCCTGCCCAGAGAGAAAAGGGAACACCTGGCAGAAGACACCCCTGCCCGCCCTTCCAGCCTCTCACTGCCTGTTGCCCAAATGTCTCGTCCTTCTTCATTGCCATGACATATTCTTTGACTTACTCATCTGTAAGTGCCGGAGGCAAAGAAGGAAAAGAAAAAATGCACCTTCTCTGCCATGATGCATAATGCTCTACATAGCAATCACAGCTGCCCTAAGCAAGAAGATCTGTTTTTAGAACTCCTCTGGCTGCTTTTCAATGTGCCTTCAGCTTATTTTACCAGCGGGCAAATAAACAGGTGTTTCCCCTGTGGTGTCTTCTGCCTGGATAGCAGCAATTCTGCTCCCAGCTGTAGCTGGAGGTCCTGACGGCACCCTCACACCCCTCAGCTGTATTACTGATGAATGAACTCAGGAAAATCCCATGTCACCTTGACACACATGTTTTTCTAACAAAATGTTTTACTGGAGCCAGGCATAGTGGCTCACACCTGTAATCCCAGCATTTTGGGAGGCCGAGACAGGAGGATTCCTTGAGCCCAGGAGTTCGAGACCAGCCTGGGTAACATAGCAAGACCTCATCTCTACAAAAATAAAAATAAACAAATTAGTGGGGTGTGTTGGCTCATGCCTGTAGTCCCAGTTCTTCAGGAGGCTGAGGCGGAGGGATCTCCTGAGCCCAGGAGGTCGAGGCTGTGGTGAGCCGTGATTGTGCTACTGCACTCCAGCCTGGGTGACAGCGTGAGACCCTGACTCAAAACCAAAAACCAAAAATGTTTTATTGGAACATAACACAGAAAAGTATTCAAAGAGCACAACTCGACAAATTTGGACAGTGAGCACATCTGTGTAATCAGAACTCAGATAAGGAAAGTGACATTGCTATCCGCCACAGCCCCCTTCAGTTCCCAGTCAGGCACCCCCTTATCCTTAGACAATCTCTGTTATGATTTTAACACCGTGTGAGTTTTGTCTGTTTTTGTATTTTATATGCACACAGTTGGTATTATTTTACATCAGACTTCTCTTGTTCAACTTTGCTTATAAGATTCAGCCACGTCGCTGCAAGTAGCTGTAGACTGTTTATCCACATTGCTGCAGGACATTTTATTAATTTACCACAATGTATTTATAACATCATTTCTACTGCTGGTGGGCATCTGGGTAGCTTCCACTTTGGGGCTATTATAAATGAAATGATGTTGTATGAACATCCTATACATGTGTTCACCAAGATTGCTGTTTGCTTTTATTTGACGTATTTATTCAGCATAAAAGATATTACAGGGAGAGGAGGAGAGAGGAGGAACCTCCCTTTGAGCATTTGTGGAACATCTACCATGCTGGGCCTACATAGCTAATGTGGTCCACACAGCACCCACCAGCTAGGTATTTTTGACCCTCTGTGTCCCATGGGTACCAAGGCTTAGAGAGAGAGTGCTTGTTGCTTATGGAAGTTTCTTAAGAGCTAGGCTGGTGGACTGTACACCAGGTTTTGAACCCAAGTGTGACCAACCCCAAACTGATGATTTATTGGATGAGGATGTCCCCAAAATGTTAGTGCTCAACTCTTACCCCTGGCAGCTTTGGCAACGGGAAACAACAGAACCCCGGATGGAATGAGATTTCTTTGGTGTATCAGATACTATCTACGGTAGGAGACATCAGTGGAATTACCACCCAAATGCTGAACATGTTTTTTATGATTAGCAGGTTACTGAGAGTATTTCAACATTCTGATAAGACGTAAATACAATCGGGTTATACTTTCAGCTGTTCTGAACAGAGACCCTGGTATCTGAACTGTCCACAATGAAATGGTCAGGTTATCAAGCTGCTTGGAAAATCCCTCTGGCTTGAGAGTTGGCTGAGGATGTCAGGTTTCCTTTTCATTCCTACTGATAAGCCCACTTCCTTTTGAGCAACACCAAGAAAATAAGGGATTATCATATGTGTTCCCTTTCTCAATCTGCTTGTAAAACACACCCACAGATGTGCAAGAACTGGAAGCTAATCCTGCCAGGAAAGTTGGTTGGAGAGCACTCAAACAGGATTACCCCGGTAGGCTGAACACACAGCTGGCATCTGTCTGCAAACATCTGTCCACCATACAAAATTGGACTTGGGGGCAGCTGACTGTCTGTGATAGACACTGCTTAGGGAGACAGATAGTGAGAGGACTATGTCTTTTCAGAAAGAAAGAGATGTGAAAGGTTTTTGCTTTTGTTTTTTTAAATTGGAGTCTCACTCTGTCACCCAGGCTGGTGCAGTGGCATACTCACGGCTACTGCAGCCTCAGCCTGCTGGGCTCAGGAAATCCTTCTGCCTCAGCCTTCCAAGTAACTGAGGCAGAAGGATTTCCTGCAGAGACGAGGTCTTGCCACGTTGCCCAGGCTGGTCTCAAACTCCTGGGCTCCAGCAATTCTCTTGCCTAAGCCTCCCAAAGTGCTGAGATTACAGGTGTGAGCCACTGCACCCAGCCAGAGATGGGAAAATTAAGCACAGTTTTCACAAGGGCCCAGAAAGAAAACAATTATGTTTGTCCAAGACCCACTGGCTAAGGTCCTCCTAGAGTTAAAGTCTACGTTTCAAATTAATTTCAGTTTCCCTGCTTCACTGTCCAGGCTCTGGGATCCCCACCCCAGACCAAAAGCCTTGACTTCTTTCTTTACACTGAACTCTGTAAGTTGGTGTGACACCCTTACAGAAGTCTCACGGTGGGGCCAGTCTGAGTGGCCCTTCTCGGCCCATACCACCTCGTCTGATGCCTTCTACCTGACATTCCTACACATGTTTTATGACTGCAGTCCCTGCACCCTCAACTCCCAAGTTGTGTTGTTGAGGGTAGAATTTCAAAGCTGTAGCCCAGACCTCTTGAGTCCTGCTTTTCAGGGTAAAGAGGAAGTGACACATATGTGAAACTGTGTTGTATACTGCAAAGCAGGTTGGAAATAGGTGATATCTTTAGTTTGAGTGAACCATTAGATACCAACTACTAACACAACTTCAGTGTGACTCAATGCAGCAGATTCTCATCACAGGAATGCCACATGACATGACCAAGACCACACAGTTGGTGGATATCAGAGCCCCAGCCAATCCCTGACATCTGGCTCCAGAGCCCAGACTCCTAGCTGCTGTCCCTTCCTGTCTTTTTACCTTGTAACACCAAAGAAAAATTAATCTTTACTCATAGATGTAATGACTAGTTAGAAGTGAGGCTATGGAGAGACCTGCTTGCAGCCTGGAAACAGGAGGTCAGGCTCTCACCTCGCCCTGCCTTTTCCCAGAATCTCAAGAAGGCCAACTTCACTGGTCTCCCCAGACCATGTAATAAGGGTCCCAAAGGCTCCCCACCAGAGATAGTGACTTATTAGAAAGATTAAATCCAAGGAAGACACAAAGCTCTCCCATCAAGGACATCACAAGAGGCCAAAGTGTGACCTGCTTCCTGCTTTGAGAAAATGTATACTCAAAATGCAAATTATGTTTTTAATAGAATTTCAAGCTGAAATCTTCTGACTCGCTTCCAAGGAATGCATTCAAAGGAAAGTTGCAAACCCAGTTTGGCTGTCTCACTCCTGTAATCCCAGTATGTCGGGAGACCGAGGCAGGGGGATCATTTGGGGCCAGGAGTTTGAGATCAGCCTGGGTAACATAGCAAGACTCCTTCTCTATTTAAAAAAGTACAATAACAACAAAACAGGCTCAGACATGCCTTGGGTCACATAAAGGAGGCCTTCCCCATCTGTGGCATGCTGGGTATGGCGGCCCTACTGAGCTCTGCATTCTCTGTTTCAGAATGAAGAACTCAGGGAGGGATTAAAAGTCATCCAGGACATTTAGCACCTGGTTGGGAGACAGGTGCAAGAGAGGGTCGTGTCATGTAACCTAGTCCTTTTCTCTCAGAGGCTTCCCAAGCTTGAGGGGCCATTGTCCAGGCTGGACAGCTGCTTGCTGGCAGGAGAACAAATACAAATCTGTAGTGGTCCCCAGGATGGAGGTGTGCAGCAGTGTGGCTAAGGGGGCTCTGCTGCTTCATACGGTCATTCAGTGGCTTTCCTAGAAATGTTCCTTCCCGCCTCTGGTCTGTATTTTGGCTTCCCAAAGCTCCCCAAAGCTCAGGAGGGTTCAGTTGTTGACTCTGGGGGAGAGAACTGGGAAGTCAAAGGCCAATGGCTCCTCTTCTCGGCCCCAGTCACGTGCTCTGCTCTCTGCTGGGGTGCTCAGTCAGGCGATTCTGCTCTCCAAACAAAGTGCAGCCATCTGATGCCACAGCTTTATCCCCCCCATCCAGTGCCCTGAAAGGAGCCCCGAGGAGGGCTGGGTCAGCCAGTGAGCTGGACCCAGAACCATGGGGGGCTCAGAATGGGCCATGGAGTCTGTGATGTGCCTGACTTCCCCAGGGCCATAGTGGCCAATGAAAGCCCCAGCCGAAGCCAGCACTGGTCTGAAGGCAGGAAAACCCAACAGCAAACAGTCGATATTTCGCCAGAAAAGTCTCACCCAAACCCCAGAAGGGGCAGAGGTGAGTGTAGAGAAAAGGTATAGAACCTGGAAAGGATCTTTCAACAAACCATCACATGGGATTCGCCCACCACTGTGTAAAGTTGGAGAATCAAGAGAAGGCCAAGACGAAGTGACATGTCTAAGGTTGCTTGACCAAGTTGGACTTGAATCCAAGATTGGCCGGCTCCAAATCTCCAAGTGTTTCTCACTTCGAACTCTCCACGTAACCAGCTACCATTAAATATCATATGGGAAAGTACTGTGAATATTATTTTAATTTTTCTTGTTTTTCTTTTCACTGGACTCAGAGAGGCCTAACTAGTGAACTCAGAATTCTAGTACCTTCCAGCATCAGGGCATGCCCTCAGTTGCCAATCAATCCTCCCTATACCAGCCTGAGCCACTGAAAAAAGTAGAAGAAATAGTAAATAAAAATGATAAATGTATCCAATATCTTCTGAGGAACATAAACATTGTTTAAATTCTAAAGCCTTCTCCTGTCAGCAAGGGAATGCATTTGTAAGGACTGAGATGAAGGTACCCAGCCAGTTAGGAAAAGTGGGGATTTCTGGCAGAGGGTATTCGTGGAATCCCAGCCATCAAAGGTACCAGCAGCTTCCTCTGCCACAGTGCAGGTTAGCCCTGGCTGAGGCCCAGTGAGAAAATGCTGTCCACCTTGAGTGTGTCTTCCTCTCTACACCATGTCATCCATGGAATGATGGCAGTGACCAGAGTGAGAGGAGAAAGATCAAATGCTCAGCAAATTTACAGGGAAGTTGAGTACAAGAATAGTCAGGTAAGTATAGGACAGGGACAGTTTGAATCGACATCTACAGAGTCCTCAACGATGCAGGTAACTTTGAATTTCCATGTGAGTTAACAGTTCCTGACAGCCAGCATAGGCTCCAAGGCACTGATGAACACAGTGGTGAGGCCAGCTGCCAGGGCCCCCTATGCTCAGTTCTGGGCGTGGTATCTTGTGAGACTGCCAGACTGCAGAGGGGCCAGAAACCACTACACTGTGTGACATTGTGTGATGTTGTGTGACACTGAGTGATGTGTGTAACATTGTATAATGGTGTGTGACGCTGAGTGACATTGTATGACAGCAAATAATATTGAGTGATATGCATGACACTGTATGCAGTGTGACATTGAATGACATGAGTGATATGTGTGACACTTTATGACATTGAGTGATGTATATGACATGACATTGTGTGGGATATGTGATACTTGTGACACTGAGTGACATGGGTGACACTGTGACATTGAATGATATGTGTGACACTGGGTGATGCGCATGACTTTTTTATGATGATGTGTGACATTGAGTAATATGTATGACATCGTATGATGGTGTGTGACATTATGTAACATTGAGTGATACTGTGTGACGCCATAACATTAAGTGACACTGTCTGACATTATGTGTGTGACATTGAGTGGTATGTGACACTGAGTGACACTGATGTTGAGTAATGTGTATGACACTGTGTGACATCGATGTGTGACACTGTGTGCCGTTTAGTGACACTGTGACATTGAGTAATGTGTTTGACACTGTATAACACTGACTATGTGACATTAATATGTGTGACACTGTGTGACATTGACTGATATGTGACATGTGACATTGTGTGGTACATGTGACACTGTGTGAAACTGAGTGATATGGGTAATAGTGACACTGAGTGATATGTGTGACACTGTGTGACATTGGTCATGAGACATCAAGTAATGTGTAAAACACTGCGTGATGCTGAGTGATGTGTGTGCCATTGAGTGATGTGTGTGCCTTTGTATGACAATGTGTGATATTGAGTAATCTGTATGACATTGTATAGTGGTGTGTGATATTATGTGACACTGAGTGATAGTGACACCATGACATCGAGTGACACTGTGACACTGAGTGATGTGTGTGACACTGTGTGACACTGACTTGTGACATATATGTATGACATTGAGTGATGTATGTGACGTTGTGTGACACTGAGTGATGTGTGTGCATTAAGTGACACTGGCTTTGTGTGACATTGACTGATACATGATATTGTGTGACACTGAGCAATGTGTGTGATACTGTGTGACATTATGTCACATTGAGTGATGTCTGTAACATTGTGTGTCACTGAGCTCACAGGGGACTCGATGGCTACTTCCCTTTTCAGAGGAAAGTCATGTATAGTAGAGAGCCCCAAAGAGCTGCCTAGAGTCTAGAAGGATGAACCTAGGCCAGAGAACAGAATGGCACTGGCATCTTGGAATGGATTTCCCTGTTAGAGCAGCCGTCTTGGTGGAATGGATGGCCTCTGGGTGCTGCCTCCCCATAAGTGCAGTCTCAGACATGAAAGTGGGGAGATGACAAAGGTTGCTGGATATTCAAGAGGCATCTCTCACTTCAACATCTAGAATGAAACTCTTAGTCCTCAACTTTCTACTGCCCATGCCCTGCCCAGACTGTCTCCATCACAGGACATGCCCCAGCCCCACCCCCG